TGTTTTGCATGTTCACTCACCTATATTTTATCCGGATGTGGAGTAATGGTCAGAAACATCCTTGCTGGGGAGCAGCTAACCAACTCAAGGACTGAGCCATCAGGAAACAGTGACATTTGTGGAGGTTGCGTTTTCTCTAGAACCTCGTTGGGAAGTGGCCAGGCGAGCATATCAGGTTTCAAAGAGAGTGCGCCCGAATCGATTCGTTTCATCCCAGGTAGTTTCAGTTTGCCATCATTCTAGCATCCCGAACCTCTCGGCACTTCATGACTTATCGTCCCAAAAATCGGTCTGAGATGTGCGATTTCCGAACTATTCAGGTGTAATAACGGCAGTGCCACAAATTAGTTCTCTCATTCTGAGCCTTCCAAGCCAGAGTTCTTGTCAAAAGAACCACCACAGGTGTACAACGTGTATTAACGCCAAGAACCAGGTCGAAAGCACTTGTATGTGGCGACAGCATCCTGACGCCTTCCAGCTTTTCCATCGGCAACCTCCATTCGGCACATACTGGGTCATGATCAGCTGTTAAGTGCTCCTTACGTCCAGAACTTAGTTTGGATTTGAACCAATGTTATCCGAACGATAGCCTATACTATATATGATACTACATGATGCTTTTCTCCGACACTTTCTGCAGAAACCCATTTTAGCCAATCGAACACGAACTAATTCTGCGAGGGACAAAAAAAAAACATCTGGCGCCCGCTACACTGCACACTACTTTCGAGGTTGCTATAACTCATGACCTTCTTGGGGCTCATAAGGTCCTAGAAAGGTTTGTATATCACAATAAACACATTGACCGTACTTGAAAGGTCAACCAATAATCCTATTTCGCATGCGGCCCAATATGGTCACGAAGTTCACGCAGCTAGTGACATTTCTGTACTAACAACGTTTGGGTTTGCAAACGGTCAACCATACAATTTGACCAGTACTACAACAGTAACGAAACTGGTGTGGCACACTTACCCCATCGTTATCACCGGAAATTCCTTCGTGACTTTGTTTATCGCCTAGACGCTACAACCTATACAGCCACCTGTTGCAGTGAAAACCCGACAGATCTGCATCCCGTACGTGTTTTGCGAAACATGCTCTGTTGTATTTTATAGAAAGGGCTAGCAGCTGGCTTCATTCCCCTTTGGGGCTTGATTCGTGGTGAAAATAAGCAATCTGCGCTGCTTCCCTGTGTTTGGTTACATACGAACAACAGAATATGTGTGGTTTTCGGTCTTGTCGAACCGAAAGTCGTACACAGGTTTATCCCTGAATCTGAAGGGACGTGGGAATCAAGCCACAATACGGGCTGTTTTGTTGTATGGTTGTGAGACTTGCCCGATTGGAGCACCGGAACTGAGATGTCTTCAGGTGTTCGACAATCGTTGTCTCGGAACCATAGCTCGCGCGGGTTGGTGTCGGCGAATCCGTAACGAGGCAGTTAGAAGGCGCGTTTTCGCTTGTACAACGGGTACTTCTCCAGCACCAGAAGCTGCGTTGGTTGGGACGTGTTGCGTATGCCGAACCATTGTTTGCCGATGAGAGTGCTGTTTTCCATGCCCAATTCAGAGTGGCGTAAACAGAGAGGTGGCAAACCCTTGACTTGGCGGAGGAGTATGAAGGAGATCACGAAACACTTGGGTGCTGTCGGTGCTACTCGCCTTCCAGGATGAGGACCGCGTGATCCTCACTGTGCCTGCTTGGAGACATTACAAGATATGGCTGCCAACCGATGTCAGTGGCGTTCTTGTTATCAGTTTCTATCCAAATTGCCTGAATGAATGTCTGGAGGTGTAGGCACCTCGGAATGACTGTGTTAAGTTAGCACTAAGTCCCTTCCCCGTCCACCTCTATTCTTTTCTTTACCATAACTCTTTCAAATAAGTGATGGTTGTACGGCAGTGAAGCATCGGTGTTGAACACTGATGTCATGTTGTTGTTGATGATGATGATGATGATGACACAGGTCCGGTGAACCCATCCCACGGAAATTCCAAGCCGTTCTGTGACAACTAACCGTGGCAGGTTAGCGGGACAATATGCACTGCTACAGCATTGTGTACGGATCCTCAATTCCTCTGATTATTCGAACTGGAGTAACGCATTCAAACAGCACGACAGACAAACGTCTATCAAACGTTTGCCCCCATGTGAGAACGCAGTGGTATGATGCTACCTCCGATGCCCGGCTTGTTTATGAAGGCACTAGCGAGAACCATCTTGGCATCGTTTTTCAGCAAACCAAAGTACATTGCTCAATACAGTGTGCGACCTCAGGCCTGATTAGTTTGCACAATCTGTACAGGTTGTGCACTTGTGCACAACACTGGGTTTTCTTCATGTTACGTAAATGTTGGACGGTTGCCCATGCGCACAAAAGCTTTCATCATCAACTGCAAAAGAAATCTAGAGGGGAAGTCTCATTTTCACAGAGATACGTGCGGTGATTTTGGAGGTGTTTTCACTTAAAGGTCTATTCGGATGACGATTAGTGCTCAACGTGCAAACTGAAACAGCGCAGCTCATTCAGTTGAAAAAGAACGGGAGGTTCAGCTGAGGGATCCCGATGAGTCCCCCGTGAAAATCGCTCTGGACTCGTTCTCAGTCCAGGCTAGGTAACCTGGGCGGATCACAGACCCATTCTGTCCGGATGAATCAGTAGTATCTCATGTGAGCGGCTGACAGACTTGGTCTTTTCGAATGCCACCATAAATATCTTTTAGTCTGTTTCACGGAGGTGGTGTTGTCAACTTCTCAGTGTATTTATCAGTTCTGAAGTTTCCAAATGTAAACTTACTAGTTATTCAGTAAGTACTCAACGTTTCAATCGCCTGCAGGTCGGCGACATTTTAGAAGTGGGCAGAATCAGCGACCGGTGCTGTCGAGGCTAAATGCGGCCTACAAACACAATGTGTTCTTATCTTTCTTCCTCCGACGTATATGTTTCCAGTTCATCTAGGTTCTGCATACACGAAAACTTGTGTTGTGCGACAAGCTATCCCGTAGGTCGGTTCGATTGTAGTCAGCGGTTGAGTGAAAAAAAAACTTCACGTGGGTTCTATTCATGCACACGCTCTACTTATCCGGTAGCAGTCCCACATGTATGTCACCAGGGCTATTTTGTATCCCGATACGGTCCCGTTTCTTTGTCCTCTTTCGCTCACGCTATGGTGGAGAAGATCCACGCGATTCCAGTTAATGACGGAACTAATAGGCGATGTGTTTTCCAAACCCGTTCGTCGCATTCCAGACAACATGAGTCACTGCTATTCCACGCCAGACTGTCCAAACGCAAGCGTATGGCTTTCAAGGCCGCATTTCAATCTGTTTCTTGGACTTTCAAGTCAAGGCTTAATTGACTGCCAGTAACTCTGCACTCACGGAACAAAACAAAACCACTGGAAAGCTACACAGTTTTGGACTGCATCTATCTATAGAGGCAACTTTTCAGCAGTTTTAATTTCAGTCTGATGCATCCTGTCATTGTGAATTGTTCTTGTGTTGCTGTTGGCTTCACGGACCAACTACAGACTGGTTGAGTTAGTGTCCACCGTTGTGAATTGTTCTTGTGTTGCTGTTGGTTTCACGGACCAACTACAGATTGGTTGATTTAGTGTCCACATTCATTTCACTCTCGTTTGAACAGTCGTTCTTTTGTTCTGGCGTAATTATTCTGACGAGTCCACACCAAAGGGGGAATCGAGTTTTGCTCTTGTTAGAGCTCATCAGTGGGGCGTACTCTATGGCCATGCAGGGGGTTGAACTCGGGACACGTGACATACGAGGCGAGCGTGTTGCGACTAAATCAAAGACGCTGGACGCACGTGTTCACGCTTTAGCGATGCGGTTGATACGCCCGACTCCACGAACGACGTCCAGTAACTGTTCTGTTTGTGAGGATCGATTGACCCGCCTGTCAGGACTTCCCAGTCAGCTAACTCCACAAACGCTTGAAACTCGCTGGACAATTTTTGATTTTCTCTTGTGGAGGGTTGCATGACGCGTTTTATCCACATCATTATCGTTGTACCTAGAGGCGTTCTCACCCGCGAAACTCATACGAGTGGCTAATAGTGTCTTATCTTTTTTGTTCACCTTACAGTTGTCCAATCATAGGAATATTGCCGCTTACTATGGTGCTTTCATCAAAAAGTCTTCTCCTCAGGATCATCTCTGGGTAAGCCCGCTCTCGTTCGCGTCTTTTGTCACCATTGCTAGTGGTTTGTTTTTCAATGAGTGCCTTAATTGCCACACAGGCTCCCTGAGATTGTCACAAAACGATGTTTGTGCGGATGAGAACGAATCGACTTTTCATATCTACAACTTGGAGAAGTACTTTTAGAGTCGTCCGCCAACGAACAAACCAAATACACTGTCTATCTAGTCCTCCCTAACTGACCTTGATATTCACCCTGTGGTGTACGTATCAGGTCACCCGACTTTACCGTGGAGACCACGGAGCAAGAACTCCACAGTTGTTGGCCGTAAACAGGTCACAGTGTGATTACGCTAACTTCGGTCGTGTCACACGGATGTAGTACACTCAGCTGTGGACTACTGAAATTCATAATTGATAGTCAGGAGATTTTGAAATTTTTCTTTCTATAAGTGGTACCAACCTATCATGAAAAATCGAAAAGCACTGTACAATCATCAGCAGTGCGCATCTCAGGAAACCCCAGAAGGGAGCCTGGGCCTTCGGGCTAGTGGTTGAACACTTAATCATTTGACCATGACGAGATGGACCAAGTGGTTAGAGCGCGAATTTACTGACCGAAAGTTCGAACCCAACCTCTGCCTCTCAACTTCCCTCGTCTAGGCTTGGGCAACGTGGCAGTATCCCAGCCCTCGTGCTTCCTTTGGGTGGCATGGCAGTTAGGCACCGAAAGGGTGCTACAGCTGAACGATTTCATGGCCACGAACAGCTAATCAGCAGCGCGATTAGCTTGCATTCAGTTGTAACTCACTTTCGGTTCCTAGCTGCCATGCCATCCGAAAGAAGCTCGACGGCTGGTCGCCCAAGCCTAGACAAGAACAGTTCGAAATCCAGGGGTCGGTTTGGAACCACGGACCTTCCGTCTAGTAAATTTGCGCTTTGACCACGCAGTCATCTCTTCCCCGATTAGGTTGCACAGGATAAACGGTGCAAGCTAATCACACCCGTGACCAGCCCTCCCAACTACTAATCGAAACGTCGCGGGTTCGAGAATCCCGACAAGAGTTTCGTTCGATGTGCACCATTGCTGATTTCCAAGAGGGATGAAACGGCTTTACAGTGCTTTTGGGCATTTCAGCACAAGGTCTCTTCACTTACTGGACGAAATCTCCAACTGGAATTCAACACGCATATCTCGGAAACTCCGAAAGCGGGCGTGAAAACATCAAAGAAATGAGTTGTTTTCTTTTATTTACAGAGCATAGATGCACTAGAAGAGTCAACCATCGTGATAGCGTGAAGAGGGCTTGTCACACTATTGAGCCCTAGACAAACGGAATTACAAATTGAAAAAAGAATATTTTGGCTTGTATGCGACACACACGATATCTGCCTGTTTCTGTTGTATTTACCCTCAAATCAGGTGATCTAATGATCGTGTCAGAGCCCCAGTAATTCCTAGTTTTCTTAATTTCGATACCTAATGGAAAATCGTAATTGTTCAGCTGTAACGCTAGCTGTGGCTAGCTACCTTTGTAACGATGATACTACTGATGGGGAGGCACGCGAGTAGTATGTGTTGTTCGCAGAATTTCGTTTTGCGTCCTTTGAAAAGGGGAGATCTGTTGCGGAATTCATGGAGCCACTTTGTAACATTTGCTTGGATTTGAGCGACGAATGATTAGAGTCAATGAATCTCCAGGAAAGTTCAAAAAGATGCGTTCGGAAGAAGATGAGTGTCCAGTTTTCGTAAATAAGATGCACATTAGAGTTTTGCTTCCCTGTCTGTAACCGGTCATTTGGCATTTCCTAATAGATAACTCCGCAGCGAAGTCCTTCTCCCTTTCACCTTGACACCCAAAGAAAACATGAGAGTGGAGTTACTGCTGAGTCGCCCAAGATGTTAGGTTTGAACCGCAAACCATCCGGTAAGCAATTTTGCGACAAAACTGGCAATAGACTCGCCAGCGTGCGCACCACGTGGTCCACACTTGCCTCACCCATGGTCATCGTCTCGACCGACTCCGTGTTGCTGCCCTGCAATTCCCGGAAGTCAGTCACCTAATGAGATTAGACAACGAATAGAGCATGCTCGGTTGTCTTCGACATTGCGCTGATGCGTCGTGAAGTTTGTGGAGCGTGACTTTTTCTTCACATTCAATTATAAGTTCGAAGAGAAGGTCAGCTTCCCCCGCCCCCTCAACCGCTCCCGTTTATCAGTAAACTGGCTTTTGTGCCCAGTTGGTTAGTGTTACCTCTCTGTACAATGGCCCTGTTCACCAGCTTAAACGGAACATCTACTTGGTTTTCTGGAACACTCCCTACTATGCTGCTTCCGGAAATTAAAACGAGTAACATTGGCTAGCTAGCAACACGCTTTCTTTTGATCACTAGTTTCTGACAGCTAGTCCTGTTGATAAGTTCGAAGAGAAGGTCAGCTTCCCCCAACCGCTCCTGTTTATTATTAAACTATCTTTTGCGGCTAGTTGGTTAGTGTTGTCTTTTTATGCAGTGACCCTGTTCGCCTGGGTGTCACTATCTTCACCAGCTTAAACGATACATCTACTTGGTCTTCTGGAACACTTTCCCGACTATACTGCTTCTAGGATTTCGAAGGAGTAACACTTGCGTACGGTCAGGCTAGCCCAAACGTGCTTTCCTTTGATCACTAATCCTGTTATCCGTATCTTGTTCACCTTCTCCTTCGCGTCACACTCCCCTAAGAAGCTGTTGTTGTCCTCTCAGCATACACATTTATTTCTTGTTACCTTCATTTACCAGCTCGTGATGGAATATTGCGGAGCGGGATCAGTAACGGATCTTGTGAAAAGTGAGTTGCCCGCATGATCAGCTGTAGAATTCTCTTGAGAGACATTCAATCAAGCCCCATGGTTGGGTCACCAGCTGATTTCTCTCAGTTACTTCTGTCATCGATAAGAACTCGTTTGATTCTGTTGTTAGACAGGCAACTGTGTCAGTGTCAGTTCTTCTGCCTGGCTGCTATGCCACCCGAAGGAAGTACGAGGGCTGTGAGACTGCCGGGTTGCCCAAACCTAGACAGAGGAAGTCGAGAGGCACAGGTCGGGTTCGAACTGCGGACCTTGTGGTCAGTAAATTCGCGCTCTAACCATCTCGCCCCGAAAGTTTCAGGGAGTTCCGTGATACATTAACCTAAAATCAAACGAGACTGACATACTATCAGATCCTCTGGTCCTAGCTGAGTAGAGATTCCCCAGTTCGTGGTATACGTCACCGATGGATATCCTGTCCAATTATTCCCCATACACTGGTAGAGTGTATGTATCTGAACCGTCAACGTTACCGATTTTAGTAGTGCACAAATGGTTAACCGATCGATATCCCCCATTAAAGCTTTTTGTATTTTCTGTCCAGGAGAGTTTTGGTCACTTGACTGCAAAGTGTAATCCGCAGTGGGAATGTACTAGTCTCGATCCCAGTGAAAATAGAACAGTGCTCGGACGTTTGTCCGTTTGTCGAGCTTGCAGGATCGATTGCAACACCAGTCGGGTTGGTATCATCAGTACGGGGCTAACTGGGTCTTGGAGCTTCCCTTCTCCTCGTGCTGCATTTTCTCGCGCCGACACAGTTTCTTGACCGCATTTGTTGTGCAACAACTGAGGCTTCCATAGAGCAGCACGAATCGAAACAGAGTTCTAAGTAGCCTGGCAGTACATCGCAGTCACATTACGTGAAATTCCGACCACACTGCAGTCTGACGTCAGCACGTATGCACACCAATCGGTCGTTGCGAATACGCAGTTAAGTTGGCAGGTTCACAGAGTTTGACAAGCCAGTCTGACTGGGAAAGATTCGGTAAGTTGATTGCACTCACTGCAAAGTGAAGAGAAGCGCATGTTTTTTCACATAACATCGACATTTCCTGAAGACTTGTCCAGTTAGTGAACAAAGATTAGGAGTATCGTCCGTTGTTGTACAGTCTCCGGATGTTTGAGAGCCCTTTTGAGCTGAGGAATAGCAGGGTCTTTCTGATGCGAAATCCTGTTTTAGTGTAGATTCTAAGGAGCGCCCTGAATTCACGAGCAACTTCAAATGGATAGTTGGCGCATTTTAGGTCCAAAAGCTTATGTTTTCACGCTCTGTGGTTCAGCGCAACGAAGTTGACAAGTCTACCATCGTTTTATTGGGCCGAACCTGTCCAGGATATGGTGATTGAACCTGTCCGACAGATCTACATGAGCATTCAAATCGCCTTCAAATAACAGTGCATTGCGCCCAGACATGCCCTTAACCCCGCTCTGCAGCTCATTGTGACAACTGTCCAATCTGCTGAGAAGGTCGGTTCGTACACAGCAGTTACACTTAAATTCAGCGGGGTGCCTCAAAATCGGGCTGCCGCAATTCTGTGTGACACGCAGTTCCAAGATGTGAACGCATCGTGGGCATGATCATTCGTGGTGCTAAATCACCGCACAATCCGCTAAAGGCAGTAGAGCTGGGATACTGCCAGGTTGCCGAAGCCTAAACAGGAATAATCGGTAATGAGAGTTGGGTTCCCACCACGGTCCTGTCGGTCACTAGGTTCGTGCTTCAGCCGATGAGCTGCTCCGAGCTCAAGGCATAGGTCACTTAGGACGAGATAAGAGTTTTTCACTAGACTACTGTAGTAGAACCATTTCCGGGAGTCCGGTCCCGCTATCGGCATTCTTGTGATGTCTGGGTTGCGTAGTCTGGTCTCACACAAATATGTGGTATTTAGCCGGAGATCGTGGGAACTATGCATATTTTTCCCTGGTTGGAGTCAATCGGCAGAGTATGTGGAATTTATGGCAGCTCATGTCAGTGGGTCCTTGTGTTGAGAGCCTCAGTTCTCATATCAATCATCTTTGTTACTGGTTTTTCACATAGCCCTGCGCCCCCATCATCATCATCATCGACTGCATAGCATCAGTGTTCAGCACTAATGCTTTGTCACCATACAACCATGATTTGTTTGAAAACATTATGGTGAGGAAAAGTGGACGGGGAAGGGATTTAGTCCCATTCTTCCTCAACCATTCCGAGGTGCCAACACCCCCAAACTCGGGGATTGTAGGTCGAAACGAACAATAAGAACGCCAGTGAAATCGATTGGCATCCATATCTTGCAACATCTCCGACCGGGTGCACTGGGCCTCACGCGGTCCCCATCCTGGTGGGCGAGTAGCACCGACGGTACCCAAACGTTTCACAATATCTTTCATACCCCTTTGCCAAGTCAAAGGTTGATCACCTCTCTGCTTCCGCCATTCCGTGTCGGACACGAAGAACAGCACTCTCTTCAGCAAACCATGGTTCGGCATGCGCAATACATGGCCTAACCAACGCAGCTTCTGGTGCTGGACACATTCTTCGATTGAAGTCTCTGTTGCACATCCGAACACTCGCTTTCTATTTGCCTCGTTTCTCCGACACCAACCCACACGATCTGTGGTTCTGAGACAGCGGTTGTCGAAAACCTAAAGACGACTCAGTTCCTCTGCTCGAACAGGCCATGTCTCACAGCCATACAACAAAACACCCTGTACTGTAACTTGAGATTCACGGGTATACCTCTCTGACGCCATAAGTGTCTCAGATTAGCAAATGCATTGACCTCATTTGTCACACTACAGTCAGAACTAATACAAATTCCGAGACACTTAAAACGTTTTACAACTTCGGGTGTTTCTTCCAGTATTGTAAGTTACGTGTTCATTAACTGCATGTCCAGAAGCACGACAAAGGACGAGATGACTTTGTTCGGTTTATCCAAAACACATGTGACTTCTCCTCTTCGAAGACGAGAACAGTATCGTCTGTATATTCCAGATCGTCACAGGCTATTCGAACACCGGGATTTTGAAGACCTTCCAGCTCATGATTTTACCGATCACAAAATCCAATAGGAATTGCATAACCTGTCTTACTGAGTTAGGCATCATGAAGGAATGGGGGAAGATGATACGAATAACGTCCCTATTCGGCTTTTGTTCGAATGGAAACCGCTAAACTTTGCGGGACCAAGTGTGACCTGCAAAGTAGCAGAACAGCCGTCAAGAGCAATGGAACAGAACCGCTATCGTGGCCTTTAGATTCCGGAATCGATTTCGTCTGCCCAGCCAGCCAGAACTGATTCATGTTCTCACCGTTTGTTTGGAATCAGGTTTTGGCCAAATCTCCTGGGCGAACAGCCACTGGGTCAGGCTATGGCGCTCCGGGAACCGCTTTCGTCCTTTCACTTTATCGTCGAAATCACTGCCACGGAAGGGCAACAAGTCTCTTGGGAGCATTTCAGTGTGCAAAGGACGACTTCACTTGTTCCCCAAGCCACGCACGCATGACCACACTAGGGCATTTAAAATCTGATTTGATCTTCGCGGCTTAGTCTTCCTTGCGGGTTGTCTGACTGTGTGATCGAAGGTGTGATCGACTGTGTGATTAGCTCTCTCTCATGACCGGACATGCTGCTGCCGAGGCAAAGCCAGGCTTTTTTGAAGTAATTGTTTAGTTTTCGAAAAAGCTTGGTGACGGTCGGTAGATTTATTGCTGGGCAACGTTCCGCTTTTGACACATAAGCTTCGTCAGGCTAAGTGACGAGGTTGGTGGAGGCTTAAGGCGGAAGGAGAACCAATCAGCTAAATCTCTGTTGGGTGCCGACCGAGGGATTTTTGTGTGTTGGGGTGGGTGAACAAGTGTTGGGCCGATGGGGAAACCTACATGTGTTTGGGTCCAGCCTAGGGTCTAGTTCTTCTGGTTCGGTCTATTCGATGGTCCCTCTTGAACGTCGTTTAAACCGTATGGATGAGCTAGTGCTAAGATAGTTGTGTAAGGGGGATGCTGTGACCTTAAGTAGGCTGGGTATTTCCATCCCCACCCCTAGTTTTCCCTAATGATTCTACGTTGATTGACAACCCACACAGTCACATGTCAACTCGGCTTATCTAAGACCGCTTTTCATACGCTCGCCAGTTCCACACCCTCGATTCTATTCATGCTGTGATGCTTAGTAATTTCCACCGCCTCGTCTATCAACCGATTTGGTATGAATCACAGTCCCCGTTTTAAAACTTCCACATTTTCCAGATCTATTCTATGTCCCGTGCCTAGGGCATGTACCGCTATCGCTGAGTCTTGGTTTGATTTTGACAGTCAGGTGTGTTCGTTTTAGCTGTTCGATATACGTGTTGCCATAACGGTTCCCTTTGTTCTTTTGCACAAGGTACTCGTGGACAGTCGCTCAGAGAAGATTGGATATCTTATATTTGCCGAGAAATACTTCGAGTAAGTTAATCTTCTGTGCCCTATTCAGCTGGTTATACAACTGTCCTGACGCGTAACTCCGCGGGGAACAGCTCTGCGATTCCATTCGTTTCCTTGTAAGGCAACCCACCGTTGAAGGAGTCAACATAGTGTTTTTTTAGCTTCGCTTCGAAACACTTCCATGACAAGTCATAATTGACGTTGGACGTCACTCTGGATACTCCTAGAAAGCTATTTTCTTGGAAGGGACCTCTCCCAGGGGAATTGTTGTTCCAACAGTAACTCTTCGTTTTTTTTGAACAGTGAAAACATCTGTTTCTGTCGAACGTACTATTCACCTGAATTTACAACACCGGGTAGTCCATTGGTTAACATCACGGAACTCATTTCGGATGATCCGGGTTCGAATCCCATCCTGAATGCCTCCAAGTGGGGCTACCAGCCCCCGTCTTGAATGCTTTCGGTACGGTCAAATGAGTCAGGTACACGAGAAGAACAATAAATAATTGCTCAGCTGATCACCCTTCTGGTACATCTGAAGGAAGCACGAGGGCCAAGAAGATACTGCCACGTTTCGCAAGCCCAGACAGGAGCAGTTGGGATTGGATTCAAACTACTTTCATGAATAGGGCATGATTAAGGACAACTTATTTATTGGTTACAAACCTCAGCCGTTGGGTGCCTGCTAGAGGGAGGTCGTGAGTTCGTGCCACAGTTAACCTAGTCTGGATGCAGTCGACTCCACCGTTTCAAATGCAAACCAAACAGACAGCAGGCAGCATCTCATTCCCACTACCCGTCCGCCAGTAAGGAACTAGCCGCAGTTTTTCTTGGCATCTAACTGGACACGTCTGCCACTGCATTTTCCCAGGCATCCGGAGAAAAACACGCACATGTCTTCGTTCGTCTAGTCTGCTCGGTGCAACTGCGCCTTCCTATTCGTTTATGTTCGGTTCGGTGGAATTTCGTGCTAATCTTTTTTCGATACATATCGATTAAGCTACCCATGTACTCTGTGCGCCACGTTTTTGTCACCATTTATGAGAGTTTTGTTACTTGTAAGTGTGATGGTTGTACGTGGGTCGGGTTATGGCGCCCACACCTAGACAAGAGGACGACTAGGGTGCTCAACCGAAGGCTTTGGCTCAATAGCCTAACCGCACGACGGCGGGAAATGCAAATGCATTACCATATCTGCGGAACAAGTCGCCTCATGTTCCAAATCCCAACCTGGAGGCTCAGGAGACTGTGTTTGTCAGACCTCTAACCATTGATCAACTTGATATGAGAGACTCTGTGAGTGTCGCTGGCACACACCGCAGTATGGCCCAATGGGTCGCTGAGATACGCCAGCCGTCACACCATGATACTGTCCAGTCTCTTCGCGCCATTATTCACGATCACATCGGGCTCTTTTGAACAGCCCTTCTCCTGGGCTGGCGCGATTGTCAAAGAGGGGAAGCAGTGGACTCGAGTTTGGCTCTGATTAGAGCTCATCAGCAGTGCACACGCTTGGTCTTGTCAGTAGGGAGTTGAACACCGGATACCTGACACGCCTGGCACGTTGTGCGCATCTAAACTATAACTTCTGAACGGGCGATGTAATTGGTTTTCCCACTAATCGATGCATTTCTAATATACTTTGGGTGAACAACCTACAGGGTTCACCTAAACACTTTTGCCCCGTGTCTGAACCCACATCAAGTGTGTTTTCGAGAACTCTCTTGAGTCGACTGGATTTGAATATGCACTCAGCGGTGTGATTGAAGGTGTGGCTCCTATCTGTTTGCACCGCGGTCGAAATAATTCACATGGTTATGTCGTTTCTCCGCGATACAAACACTATTGTCCAGATCAATTTTCCCTTATTCTCAATGGAAACAATACTAAATGTTCTTGTGGAAAAAATTCACCGTTTACTGCAATTCCTCCCGTTTCACCAACGCTGCTGTTCCAGCGAGAAACCAGAAAGATCATGCTTGATTTTCAAGGTGAAAACGAAGCTTAATGCGGGTGTTTGCTTTGCTCCCCGACACACTATTCACCAGCGTTTGCATCGCACTGGTGTGGAGATGGGGAAAATTCAGACACACAAAGGATGCAAGCGGTTGTTGGTCCACATGACTGGCCAATCACGTTCGAAATCGGAACATGGGCAGAGTGTAGTTAGCAGCGCCCATGTTCTGCATCCGTTGTTGTCTGGTGGTTGTCAGATTCTACCCAACTTTTTGATCCCCACCGTTTGTCTTTCTTTGCGTGACTTGTTGTTGGTTGGACATACCTCACATTTCATTGCTTTCGATTCTTTGCGGTTGCACCTTTCATCTAATAAAAAATATTACTCTCATAAGGGAAACTACTCACAAGGTTGCTGAAGGCTCTTCGACAGCCCATGAGTGTATTGCTCGAAAGCAGACCAATGTGGGTTCACGTAGAACACAAGGTTGACGGAAACTCGGGGACTGCGCCTACCTGATGAGCCCGAAGTGGAAGGGCGAAACCGGTCGTGGGCTGTCGAAGAGTTTTGAGCAACCTTGTGAGTAGTTTCGTTTATGAAAATATACTGCGATATCCCGAACAGCGTGCCAACTGAAACATGAGGCGGCCTGTGTGCAGCACCTTCAGTTGTAGAATTTCATAAACGAGAGATTCAGTTGAGTCTCTCGTGAAAACCAACTGACTTGCAACTGAGTGTATTTCTCGAAAAATTATTACTGTTATTTAATAATGTTGTCACCAATATTTTATTATTGTTATTAGTCAGCAACTACTCCTCACAGACCGCTGAACTACCTCGAAACCAGTGGTTCTCAACGATCTTGGCTACTCCTAAAGAAGTGGAAATCGCTACTCATGAGTAGTAGGCAAAGTACAACTCAATTGGGTTTGCATTTTATTGGAGCTTTGGAAGTGTAATTCAGAATGACAGTGAACATTGACAAAAACTCCATTCTTTTTTGCAACCAGAAACGCGCAAAGAAGTTGGTTGGAAATGGCACGTTCGTCTATGAGCCCTGTCCACATGTATGACATGTGTTCCGATCTAATCAAATCGTCAATGGAGAACCTGTTCTTTCGTTCGTCGTCCATCAGTTGTCATTTCCGTATGACGACAGCAGGGAGGGAAACGTCTTTAGAATGAGTGAGGCTAGCTTGTCTGTTGTTGTATTTAGCCGCGGCACAAATGACGGTAGACGGGGAAGTGACGTACGGATCATCGATCAGGTGATAAGTCGATATAAATTAGGGAATCATACGGCAGGACAAGCCGGCCTGTCTGAATGCGTGACGTAATGGCACGGTTTTTTTTCTCATTTTGGTGGTTTCGTCATTTGTCAGTGTGTCACTAATAAACGGGGAATGGTCGGTTTTTTCCAACCTGTGGATATCTTGAATCTGGAAGCTGGTTTTGCCCTTTTATACGTTGCAACGTGTCCAAATCCTTGGGGGCGTGTTTGGTGGATAAAACGCACACAGAGTGCAACCGGTTATATTTTCAACATAGTTTAACTATGTCAGATGTCACAGGTGAGCCTAAGCTAGGTGGAAACGTGTTGTCCTGCGATGTCAGCATGGACGTTACGACTAGGCGCAACACACACACACTTGGCAGACAACATGGTCCGGCCGTCGATCAAATCGGTCTAAGAGTAGTTTCCCAGACGGGTGGTTTCTTAAACACGAAAATCTGTTCCCCCACAATAACTACAGGACTTTCCCCGGGGGATGTATCGTCCAGTGGAGAACACTTACACAGGCAGTTGTAATCATACGAGGATGTGAATTCGATTTGAATTCACATTTAGCTTGACCAAATCTCCCCCGACAACGTGCTGCGATTATTGCCTCTCCGGTGGCCCACCACGTAGGTGTAGGTTCCGGGTTTCCACCTTTCCCAACATCAAATTTTACCTGTGTGCTTACTGAGCCATTTGCATATCAAACTGATGTTGGTGGGATACGCGATCGGCAATCTGCTGAATCTTTCGCACTGAAACATGAGGCAAGCTTTTTGCAGACCATTCAGCTGGATGTGAGAGGTCTGACTGCGATTCGGCTGTATTTGTAAAGCAATGCATTTTGAAGTTGAAATTTCCTGTGAAGCCAGGTGACCCGATTGAAGAGGAGGCCCGTGAATCAGATGTGTAGTACCGTACGGTGGAGGTTACGTGTATTTCAATCGGAGGCGCTAACGTACTGACCGGAAGTTCCATGGTTCGAACCCAACCGCGGCATCTTGACCACTCCTGTCTAGACTTAGGCAAACTGACACTGTCCCAACCGCCGAACCTTCTTCGAGTGGCATGGCAGCTAGGCACCGAAGGGTTGCGGTCTCCAGGAGATTCAGAAGGTGACTCAACGGTATTGTGTCTATTCTCGTCATAGTACGCCCTGAGACCTTCGCTGCACGTTTCAAAACATTATTACAGGTGTTCTGGATGGCCGCACTGGTTTGTTTTATGCAGTGGCTCCCTGTACCGTCTCGTTCCGGAAATAACTTTCCATGTGTTTGCAAAAGACATACTGTACCATAGATTATAAAATATTTTTTACTTCACTTCTTTACAATGTATTTTCAATCATAAACTACTCCATCTCAGGTCTAAAATTTTATAAAAAGCAACTCGCAGACTCTTGGGGGAATCCACAATTACACGATCCAAGATGAAAGCTGGCGGGAACTACCGGGTTATCATTTTGATGGCTCAGTGACTAGACCGTGAACTTACTGACGGGATGGTTCGTGGTTCGAACCCGACCTCGGCATCTCGACCTCTCTCAGTCTTCAGGTTGGGGAAAATTCGTTCAGCTGTAACTTTTCCGATGCCTAGCTGCCATTTCACCCGAAGGCATCACGAGGCCCAAGATACTGCCAGGCTGCTCAAATCTCAATAGGATCAGTCGAGATCCCAGGGTCGGGTTCGAACTAGGGGCCTTCCGGTCAGTGCTATCTCGAGCTCAGTTTGACAGATATTGTTGTCACATTTTAAGCGGGTATTTGAAGTCTGCAGTGGATCTCACTCAGTTCTATGCACTTTTCTTTTCGCCCAGGGTCTGGCTCATCTACACACGAATCGAGTAATCCACCGTGATATCAAAGGCCAGAATGTCCTACTCACGGATAATGCAGAAGTCAAACTTGGTAAGATGCGTCGCGACTGTTTTGCTTTCCACCACGTTCTAGTTAGACGCACACTTTTTATTGCTTTACGTGTCGATTGAGGGTAATTTTACACTGACGTTTTTTCTTCTCGCCTACGCCTACCTACCTATTCCTGTGGATCGATCACACTCTTGAATCTCCACAAAAAATTAGATGTTTGTTTGTTCTGCACTCTGACGAGTTGAATGTGTGCGACATGGTTCTCCTTATCCTCCATCTATCTATTCCTTGATTGATTTCCTTCGACAAATTGTCAACTAAAGCCTCCATCTGTCTTCCTTGTAATCTCGTCAGTTGACTTTGGAGTCAGTGCACAGTTGGACAAAACCTTTGGAAAACGGAACACGTTTATTGGGACACCTTACTGGTGAGTTTGTTCGTACGCTCATCTAACTTTGTCCACGTTCAAGGTAAGGCAAGCTGTGGTTTCGACTGTCTTCTTTTCCCTTTTTAGTACAGCTTAGCTATGCAAAAGAAACACGGATGCGCATTAGATATCTCGACCTCCTTTGGTCTGCTTCCGAGTTTGACAGTCATGAATGTCTGTCTTCAAAATCGGGTCAGAACGAGAAAGCTTCGCTTGCCTTTTTTATCGGGATCACTTATTGCTGTTAACGGTTTCCCGATTGGAAGAAGAATGGTTTGATTTCGAACGAAGCTTCACCGAGGGCGCTCAACACAGTTGATTCTAGTTCTGAAATGCGTCCATACGTGAAACTCCAAAGTGATAATAACTCTCTTCGTCGACCTGGGGTTGCTGGATCTTTGGTGAAGGCTATTCAACTGAATTTCTCCACCTCCGACCGCGTGGACAAACATCCAACTGATGAACACGTCCGCAATCGTCGCTCTTCTCCCCTCGTACCTTTGACAATCCAAGGGAACTTCGATGACAGCTCCATTTAAATCTACCGGCGATTCATGATGTTGATTTAACACCCCATAGAGCCCACTGCACTGTTCCAGGCTTAGGTCCAGCCACGATTCGAACACCGTCCATGCTGTCTGCAGAAACTGGGGATAGCCTAGTGGAACGATTTCTCCAGAAGGTGTCGAAGACTGATTCTGAAAGAGCTAATCCTCCCCGGGATCATTGATTTTACTTGAAGGGTAGTCACGCTGACCGTGTTGCTTTACCATCATTGGGTGTTTCCGACACCAACCCCGGGGGGGGGGGGTACAAACTCTGCGCCCCCCAGTGTTTCTCTGCGACTGCTCATTCGCCCTAGGTTGATCATCTACGTTTACCTATTCGGTGTCGCTAGGCGAAGGCCACAACTTAGAGGCGTACCCGAAGACTGTTTCACTGTATTCTGATATACTCTGCACAATAGGCGAAGCACGTTGTACAACTTTCGTCTTCGTACATGAGTATGCCAAACAGTTTACCACATGCGGTCCACAGGCTTATGTATTTAAGGATTCTGTGGGATGAGTTGGCCCTAGTACACCGCTCTACTCAGTGCCCCGTGTTGTTATCAAGACTCTATAACATCCTGATGAAGCCAACGCCTCAATTAGTGTAATAACGGTTTTTCTCAGCTTCATATGTATAGTGTAAGTGACAAAAACTTTCTGAAGATTCCGATGACTTCCAGATGCACTCGGCCAATACTGGGTCGTGATTGGCTGTTGGGTCCAGACTTTCGACCAATCATATTTCGGCTTGGTGCCGGACCAACAAGCGTCCCGAATTCATGGCCAATCTTGCGTGGGGTGGACTTCTCGGCCGTAGCATCACCTGACTGCGAGCGGTAAAGCGGGACCCATGTGGAATTCCGCCTAACACCGCTCTACTCATTGCACCGTATTGTTATCAAGATTCTATAGCATCCTGATGAAGCCAACGCCTCAGTTGGTCTCTTTTGTATAGCTTTTATTATGAACTATTATGCTTATCACCTTTCTGTACCATGTAGTTGTTCTTTCTACAACCTGGAAATGTCATTATCTTATAACCTTGTTTCGAATTTCAAGGATGGCCCCAGAAGTGATCCACTGTGAACAGGATTCCACCTGTACTTATGACACGCGGTCGGATCTCTGGTCACTGGGTATCACGGCTCTTGAAATGGCTGAAGGTCGTCCACCGCTGTGTGAAATGCATCCAATGCGAGCGTTATTCCTAATCATGCGCAACCAACCACCAAGATTGAAGCAGCCTGCGAATGGTTCAAGACACTGGACCCCTCGATTTCACGATTTTGTAAACAAGTGTCTGACTAAAGACTTTACCAAGCGCCCATACACTGGTGATCTGCTCCGTCACGATTTTATCACGAATTTGCCGAATGAACGACAGGTGCGCATCCAGCTGAAAGACCACGTGGACAGGCACAAACGCACCCGGCGTCGTAAGTTGATCCATCTGTGTTTTATTTGCTCATCGGCACGTGAGCAAACCTCATTCGCATCGACCATGCAACATTGGTGTGTTGCATACACCGACAGTTCACCGCCTCCAAATTATCTGAAAGTCTAGCGAATATACACTCATTTGCGAACTAATTTGGTTTTTCGAGAGACTCATCTGGAACCCAGCTGAATCTCTCGTTTGTGATGTCTCCAGGCAACTTGGTTCGTGCAATTTGGTTTCAAGTAGGACATAAGGTTGACGGAAACCCGGGGACTGCGCCTACCTGATGAGCCCTAAGTGGAAGGTCGAAACAGGTCGTGGGCTGTCGGCGGCTTTTCAGCAACCTTATGAGTAGTATATTACGAATATACATCTGAAAGTCTTTGTGTAAACGAAGTAGACCATGAGTAGGAATTCGTCACATCTTCGCCCTCAGTTTTTTGGTGCGCATAGTCTCCAGCTGTTTTCCATATAGTGGTGTCAAGAGCAACGTCTTGTGATATCCTCACTATACCGTTTTGTACCCAACTGCCATAACACCTGAAGAAATCATAAGATCTGAGATACTTCCAGGTTGCCCATTCCTGGACAGGAGCAATCGAGATGCCGGGCTTAAGTTCGAACCCCTGGCTACCTTGAGCTAATAAAACCCACTTCTATTTGGTATATCACAGTGGTGAGCATGTAGTCTGTGACGTGATGAGTATTGAAAGTCGGTCGCCAAACATCCGAGGGAATTGCGTTTTTGACCACTGCTCTCTCTCTCTCTAGTCAATACCGCTTGCAGTAAATCATTGAAAAGATGCAGATGGACTGTTCGGCAAAAGATGAGCACACGAACATCACTCAACTGTGACCATTTCCCGTCCATTCAGCATATGCTGGAGTTTCACTGACGTTGGTTAGTAGTATCTAAATCGCACTCGACGTTTTCGATAGCGACTTACTTCACCGTGCCTCTCGCTTGTGGAGTGATTGAATATTTGCCTTAAGCCTAATATGAATTTAGTGCAAACACTGTTCTCTGTACCGCTCGAATTTTTCTTCGCACGACCAAATGCGAAATTCAGTGCTGCTTGGGAGAATTCTTCCACCCAGCAGATCTGTTTTTCATTTACTTGCACTTTGGTGTCGTTGACAGAACAACACCAAATGTTGGCTTGTGTACGAGATCCGATCCGCATTGGCTGATTCTCGGTCTACATCGTAGTCTAAATGACTCTTCATTAAGAAGGTTACGTAATTCACATAAATAACAAAAAACGCTGCCAAGTGATTGGTTTTCCCTGATTTCAAACAACAAACGTTCAGCTGTAGCGACCTTTCGGTGCCTAGCTGCCATGCCACCCGAAGGTTGCACGAGGGCTGGGATACTGCCAGGTTGCCCAAGCCTAGACAGGGGAAGTCGAGAAGCAGAACGGGTCGGATTCGAAGCACGGACCTTCCGGTCAGTAAACCCGCGCGCTATCCACTTGGTCCATCTCGCCCCCTCCTTGATTTCACTGAGCAGAATTCATTATTCGTCATTGGTGCTCTCAGATTGCGTTGCACATCATAACCTTCGTATGTTGCTTTCTATTGGGAAATTGGGTGTGGAATCAAACTCTTTAGAATTCCACCAGTCTTCACCCGAACTTTGATAACTGCATGTTTAAAGGAGGCCGGGATATCTGGAATACGTAGGGTGGCTCAGTATACATTGCAGTGTATATTTAGTGAAGATCCCGTCCTGAGAGTGAGGCCTCATCGTTTCTCTAAATACGAGTTGCCCACAATGCGGATCAACCGCTAATGGTTACGTCTAGGTCGCGGGTTCGAGACCCCCTACTGGAATTTGGTGAGCTGTGTACTACTGATGATTTGCAATAAAGATGGAACAGCTGTATAGTGGTTCTCGGCTTTTGGCTTCACTTACAAGACGAAATCTCCGTTAAAAAATCCAAAATCTCCCCACAACACCAACACACTACGTAGATCAAAATGATATACCGAACTGCGGGTGCTGTTCTGCGCAGACGGTTGAGGATCTGTGTCCAGCTGGAAATCAGGGTAGAATCAAGATATACTACTCATCGTTCGGAGGTATCTTGGTCTTATGCATGTACCATTCGTGGACTTTGATCAAAGTGAATCCATGGTATAATGCTTACTTTTGGGGTAGCGTGACCGAAGAAAATAGGTCAGGATGCGAGCCAACCATCTATCAGTTGAGTACGGATTTATCCAACAAGGCAGTCGGTATAGTTGCTTCCCATTCGTTTTCCGTGATGTCTGGCATCAGATACTAGTTTTGCGATTCATGTGCTTGATTTGGTCATGAACCACGATCGTGACCAGCATGAATGTGGCCTGCGTTTCGAATTTTTCCCGCTTCGACCTTCCTCTAAACTTGCGATCAGTCCACAAAACTGATTACGTTTTGTCCAATACCAGATTCACCACTTGTTCGAATTTGAGCAGCGTAGTACACACTCCACCTTGTGAGATCGCTTGTTTAGTCGTGTCCTCGACTTGTCTCATCCGCATACATCTTATCTGCATGTTGCAGCGGAAGAACGTGAACAAATTTACGAATATGAAGGGAGCGATGACGACGAAGATGAACCGAACGCGGCTCCCAAGGTTTCAGCCGCACTCTCCGCTGCTGGTGGAGCTCCTGGACACCGGATTGGTCCTCCCCCACCGGCTTCTCACTTGGGCCAACCTCGGCAACATCCACCTTTACGACCAGGTGACTTTGTTCCCCCGGCTCCACCGATCGCCGCCGGTTTGAACGCTCGGGAGCAGCCACATCTTAATGGACAACCGAACAACGTTCGCCAATCCGTTCGAAGTGGAAAACCTGCTCATCCGGTTGACAAAAAATGGGTTCGCCCGGTTGAGGAGGAATCGCCAACCATGACGCCTAATGCCCCCGGAGAAAATACTCTGCGCCAGAACTTTGCCAGGTTGCAGGTGAGTTCGCTTGCGATCCGCTGAAATCATTTCTTAGTTTTAATTCGGATACTTTGTGTTCCTCACTACAATGTTCGTCTGTCTCCTCTGTGGTTCAAACCTATTCTAGTAATCGCTTGGGGTGCACAACGACTTCCGAATTTCGGTGTAAAATAAATAACAAATCGTTTAGGTGTAACACCCTCCCGGTGCTAAGATGCCATGCTATCCGAAGAAAGCACGAGGACTGGGATACTGCCAGGTTGCCCAAGCCTAGAGAGAGGTAACCTAGAAGCAGAGCGCGTCGAGTTCGAACCAACGACCTTCTGGTCAGTAAATTCGCGCTCTAACCACTTGGGCCATCTCCTCCCTAATTTCGGTGTACCTCGTACGGTCCTATATGGGGTTGCCCTGCTTGTTACCTCACTTGAATTGATATCAATTATAGCTTGACCGGTGTTGTTCGGTTGCTCTCTATGGGACCACTTATCTACAGCCATTGGGTGCTTGGGGCCGGATGGCTCAGTGGTTAGAGCACGAATTTACTAACCGGAAGGTCCGTGGTTCGAAACCTACCCCTGCCTCTCAACTGCCACTTTCCAGGCTTAAACAACCTGGCCCTCGTGCTTTCTTTGGCTGGCATGACTGGTGGTTACCGGAATGGTGTTACGGTTGAACGCTTATCTTGTTTGGTGCTTGGATTATCGTCAGGGACGAGGATGGCTGGTCTCAAAGCATACTGTGAACTTTGTTGGGCTGTACCTTTAGACTGTGTCTCTGCTCCACTGCGACCGGCACTCTTAACTGCTTTCACAACATTGTTTTTTGCTCTACCTGGTGGCCTCTGGTTTGTGCACTTTTATGGGACGAATGGATCGATGAACGAAACTATGTTTATTTATGCCTCGCGACACTTTTGTACGGTGGTGGCGATTCAAATCAAACGGCTGTTCATCATCATCATCAACTGTAAGAACCGCATATTTGTCCTACAGCGGTTGAAGCTACCCAGTTTCGTTTCCAGAGCCGCATTGGCGTTTATTCTGCATCTTGCAGACGTCCCGAAGAGATTCGAGGGTTTGTTTTTGAGCTATGGTCGTTGGATCCACAAAGTTTTCGGTATGATTAACCGTTAGAGTCTGCAAAAGCCGCCAGGCGCAAACTTCGCCAAGAAAGTTCTTCTAGTCCATAGTGGATAACAGATAATTCATCTGAGCAGAATTTGATTTTTGCCAATTTTTTAGACCAGCAATAAACCCTAAACTCCATCCGAGACCGCTCCAGCCAATTTTCCTTTCGAAGACCGATTTCTTGCCGACGCTGTCGGGCATTACACCTCCACCTGTCAGAAACAGTTGAGTGTCATTTGGTGGCCATTGTTGCATAACCGTTACTGATGCATCAATCCGCAGCTTTGCAAACAACGTATTGCCATCTCCTTGTCATGAACGAGAGTTGAAAGCGTCAGAAGGTTCATTTGCGGTTTTACGTCCGAGCGGAAAAAATTTCTTCACAAATAGGTTAAGATTGTATACGTACATTACATTGGAGCTGGAAAAAAGTTGGAGGGGGGCTTAACTTTTCGCACATGCACTTTTTGTATTAGTGGCGGGGCTCATCTTGAAAAGATCCGAGGTAGGTAGCTTCTCATTGGAGGTGGCTTATCTTATTGTCGATTCACAGGCTGGCCTCTCTAGACCGTTTTTACCATTCTCCCAATTTTCAATTGTAGGAACGTGAGCGCCTTCCCGCTGCGGGTGGAACCCCCAGTCAATCGTCAGCAGTGGGCAATAACTTTCACCAGCAGCAGCACCAACAACATCCGCAATCGTCCCACCACTATCCACAACAATTTCGCAATCAACAACACTCTCGTGCGCACCCCGCTCAGCGCACACCACAACAGGCCCAACAAGCCCAACCGAAGCTCGGTGTTTCTGCAGCTGGTAGCCGCTCGGCTGCCTACGGACCTGTGTCGTCAACATCTCAATCGAATGCGACCGAGTGTACTTCTGACATGTCTGTTTCAAGCTCTGCGCCTGTGCAATCCTCCGCGTCGGTGGCCAGTCAGCAACATCATTTCCCTCTGCATCATCACCGGGCGGCAATGGTAAGTTGGTCTGCTCTTTTCAACCCCGCTTCGCCATGCTTGAGGTCTATACGCACTGTTCGGTTTGGTACTATTCCGTAGATTGGTGCAAAGTCCAAACTGAGCGGATTTTCGAATCCTTACCAAACGTTGTTCCACGATTGTCTCCTATCTGTCGGACTGCCTCTTAAGATTTGTTCTTGGCACCCACCACAAGGGAACAGCATTTTTTACACTCTGACAGAGATCGCTTCGACTGACTTCCGCGAGACGATCGGTTGATCCCCACTGATTTCCCGTGCTAGTACCACGGACAAACTGCGGTCAAGGGCACGTCGCACAGACCGAGACGTAATCGCGGGAATCCAGCAATAGATCCCGTGTGTCACTTTAAGACTTGACGGTTCCTATCTGGTTGGTTCCCGCTTGCTGGGAGAGGTGACATACCCGTGACACAAGGCCACTGAAGGATGCTAAGTGGATCCACTGGTTGACGCGGCTATTGTGCTTAGGACTCCGCTGTACTCAAAATGAACTGTTGTTTTAACCGGTTGTTTCTTAATCTTTTCCGATGGATGCGGTTCGGAATCGCCTTTTGGTGTAATCATAGTAGTTGGCTGGTGTTTTTTTTACCTGTTATTAACATTCATTTTTACCTGTTTTTCGTCTCCTCGAACCAGCATGTGCGGATCGGAGCTAGCGATGCACAGTCGCGCTTTGCCGTTGGAGAATCGGCTCAACCGCCTGGCCGTGGAGGAGGTTCCCGACACAAGCACATCGTGTCCCCGAAATTTCCGTCAACGCGTCCTATCACGACACAGGTCAGCATACACATGGCAGTGTTTGTTTATGAAGGGTTATTCAGGCCGTATGTCTCAGTGGATCGATTCTGCGTGCGTGTTTGTTCGCTACTGATGTGTGTTGTGTGATCTGCGTGCGTGTTTGTTCGCTACTGATGTTGTGTGTTGTGTGGCTTGAGTGAAAACTGGCACAGCTTGATCGGTGCACAACCTGGAAACGATGCATAAACAACTAAACGACCAATGTTGGTCGTTCTGACTGGGGCCTTCCACCCCGACAGATGAATGTCACACATCCAATCGGTGGCGCTGGGGCATCGTTTGCCACTCGGGTTTTTCTTCCGTTAGCATTATCTTTCGTATTCGTTTGACCCCACGCTTTTCCTAACCGATTTGTGTGGTTTTTTCGTTGGTAGACGGTGATTTTCCCTTCTAAAGTATTGTACAACCATGAATCGCAAGACTCGTTTTCGTTCGGGATGTCATTGCTGACTGTATCACACTGCGAACAGGCAGCTACTGATCTCTTGGAAGGTTGCGTCTGCGCTGTAATTTGTGTGTACAAAGTGGTTTCAGTAGTCTCGACTTGCTGTGGAAGGTCGATCCACAGCAACACTTTTTTCTCTTTGAGAACGTCGTGTGGTACTCGGTGATTTTCGGTGGATTTTTTTGTCTGTCGTGCTAGGCTCTCTGGTCTTCACTGGGAAGTTTGGGTGGCTTGTCTAATTGAGGGGCATCTGTTAGGGATCTTTCCTACTGGTTCACAAAGCCTCCTCTCTCACCGGCGCGTTCCTTCATCGTCTACTCGATCCCTTGATGCCATTTAATCAACCAACCATTCTGGAAATTAGCCGCCGCCCGAATATAATCGTCAAAATACCGGCTTGCAACGAGTGCGCGTTCAAGATCGCTCACGTGTATACATCATCATCATCGACTTCATTCCAGACACTATTTGGCCAAATCAGTAAGATTGTGCAGAAGTACCGTTCGATTAGCAGCCTCGTTGGCCTTGTAGAACTATCTTCTCTCGACGTTGTATTAGATGACCGAGAGGCGGTCAGTTCATTGCTTGATAATGAGGGATGAAAGCTCTTGCCAGACACCTCCATCTGCGCTGGTGGGTACGCTGGACGGAACCATCCAAGTAGAACATAAGGTTTACGATGGAAACTCGGGGACTGCGCCTACCTGATGAGCCCCAAGAAGGGCGAAGCAGGTCGTGATCTATCGGCAAATTTTTAGCAACCTTATGAGTAGTGCGTTACGGGTATACTGAGCTGATTACGAAGAGGGTATAACCGAAAAACACAGCAACCCGCCGCTTCTTCCTTGGCCTAGGCGAGTCGCGAAGGCTATCGTTCGACACAGGTGGTATACTTCCAGTGATCCTCACTTGAACCCCTTCGCAATCCCTAAACTAGTTCACCCCGGTTCGCTTGGGCCACCGCCTCCAACACGTAGCTGTCGCTCCCTATCTGTCTCACTATCCTCGGGGGGGGGGATGGCCCAAGAGCGCGAATTTACTGATCGGAAGGTTCGTGGTTCGAACCCGACCTCTGGCTCTCGACTTCCCTTGCTCTAGGCTTGGGCAACCTGGCAGTATCCCATCCCTCGTGCCTCCTCCGTGTGGCATGGCAGCTAGGCACCCAAAAGGTGCTACAGATGAACGATTATTTTCAGTTAACAAAGCTGTAGCAGCTTCGACCACTTTGGTTCATGGCTTGTGAGCTGAAACACTGAACTAGACTGATGTGTCGAGTAATCCCGCACTGAGGAGCTCTGCAGCAGTTTGAAGGCCATCAAAAAGTCTGGCGAGTAGTTCAAACCACACACGAATCCAATCGAGTCGCGCTCCCTCCTTGACTATTTCAAATCTTGATTACTTATTATTAAGTGTCATTCTGTTGCTGTCGACAAATGAGGCATATTCTGCGATCTGCCTTAAGGAATTCGTATCGAATGTGGTGTTTTCATCCCAACAGACCACCCGGTGTACTTTGGGGATCAGTGACCACTTACGTTAACCTACCACTGCAGCAAAGCTCATAAATCAACTTTACCGACAAGCGGCCAGTCCAGATACTTCGTCGTTAACCCGAGTGGTCACGTGATCGATCTTCCCAGGCCCACTCACTAAACTCCCATAATCATTTGTATTTTGCGCCAATATTGGAACAAACCTTTGGAATATTTGATGTTCACAAGTCCATCCCCAAAGGACCTGTCCACCAACTACTCTGGTTGGTGGAATCAATCTTGTCCTTTTATTGTAAGAATGGACGAATTCGACGTTTTTGTTTTTTGCTATCTTCTTGGCCATTGTTCAAAGAGACACGTGGTATTTAGGCTACAGGCTCACCCACGTTTCAGTCTCGACAAAACATTTTTTCAAGGTGAAACATGACGCCAATGATTATGTTTGTACAAATTATCGGATCAGATCCCTGGGTTTTTCTAGTTCTATAGAATTTGTTAGTTTAGTTTCGCTGTTGCTTGGTCGATGATATGCTTGGCAGGCTATTTATTCTAGAAATCCGTATGATTGGCTCCACATCGACTCTCGTTATTCATCTGCGTCGTTTACATTAACATGAGGTGCACGCGTGTGCCACTTGTGCTGTGATTCATTCCTGTCGAGACAGTGTGGCCAGCCGCGTTCGGCCGTGTCCAACAACCTATCTTTGCTATTTTCATGCTCGTGAAAAAAAACTGCCGTCTTTTCCGGTTGGCAGTCGTATGCATAGTTATCAAACTTAATGCTATTGGCATCGTTTCCAATGGGAGTCTCGCTCACCGTAATTATACAAGTGTGATTGGTCGGTGTTTGTCTCCGTGCAAATTTCGTCTCAAGGTTTCCTAAAACGTATCCTGATGCGTTTGGCTGGTCACACTGTGCTTAGCTCTTCTTCTGCGGGAAGTGAAAAATTGATGGAACTCCGTCTGAGGCCTTAGACTGATTTCTTTTTCTTGGGCTCTAGTCAGCAGCGAGATCTTCGGAATCGATGCAGTCGTGATCTTCATTGACCGAGGTAGCTCAGTGGTTAAGGCGCGAACTTACTGACCGGAAGGTCCTTGGGCTCGAACCCACTCCTGCCTAGGCTTGAGCCCCCGAGTAGTATCACAGCCTTCGTGCTTCCTGGCATGGTAGCCCGCTGCTCTGTCTAAAATCGTTAAAAAAATCGTTCAGCTGTAGCACCCTTTCGGTGCCTAACTACCATACCACCCGAAGGTTGCACGTGCCTAATCCAAGCCTAGACAGGGGAAGTCGAGAGGCAGAGGTCCGGTTCGAACCACGGACCTTCCGGTCACTGAATTCGCGCTCTAACCACTTGGGCCATCTCGCCATCTGCTCTGTCTAACTCTAACTCTATTACTCTTACTAGCAACGTCGACAGTGACGTTATATTCACTACCGTCCCTTCTTGCCTTTAAAAACCTCGTCATTGTTTCGCAAAAGTCTACTCAGCTGACCTTTTTTTGTACAGCTCGGACCCCATTTGGACATGCGGAAACCCCCGATGGATTCTGCTTTGTCGTCTTCTGTCGCTGGCCCCAATCCAGGTTTTCAACCCAACCGAACAACTGGCGTGTTGGCCTTCGCTTCTACGGCTACCTCTATTTCTGCGCCATCCGCCCCTTCTGCAGCCGTTAGTGACAATCGGTCTTCCTCACGTATTCCCACCAACCAGGATGCGGAAAAAAGTAGGTTGTCGTGGATTGAACTAGAACAAATATGTAGTTCCGACTATCAAATCGTCAACGCCCTCTAGTAGAGTTCTTTGTGGTCGCAATATAAGGTTTCAACGTTACCTATCTTGGCTACATCTGAAGACGTTTTTATTACTTTACTTTGACTCTGACACGACTAGTTTTTCAACAGGCAGAATTTTCTGGATCATTTTCATTCGACTGAGCGTAATCAGTGCTCACACAGTGTAGTAACGGTATTTTTTGTCAGCTTAATTCTCGGCCTGAGCCTCCCAAGCTAGCGTTCACGTCAAAACAACCACTAAAGGTGCACATGGTATACTAACGCCCAAAACGAAGTCAAGAACAGTTGTACAGCGCTCCGTATATATAGCGCAAGTGGTTATAATTAGGAAATTCTGGCGCGTTCTAGATGCGACATTGGCAACCGGCATTTGACCAATACTGGGTCATGATTGGCTGTTGGGTCCAGATTTTCGACCAATCAGATCTCGTCTTGATGCCGGACCGGCAAGCGTCCCGAATTCTTGGCCAATCTCGTGCGGGCTAGGCTTATCGGCCGTAGCAGACGCGCGGTATAGCGGGATCAATGTGGAATTCTGCGTAACACACAGAGAAATTTCGAATGCAACCGAGAAACACATGTTTTGGAGCTCGTCCGACCACCGCCAACAATATTAGGATGCATAGACGTAAAACACTACTCATAAGGTTACTGACAGCCCGCAACCGGTTTCGCCCTTATTGGGGCGCATTCCCCGAGTTTCCGTCGGTCTTATGTTCTCCTTGAACCCAAATTGCACGAAATTAGCGAAATACGCTCATTTGCAAACAAATTTCGATTTTTCTCCAACCTCATGTTCTACTTGAACCCAAATTCCACGAAACATCATAAATGAAAGATCCAGCTAGGTTCCTGGTGAGTCTCTCGCAAGACCACATTTGTTTGAAAATGAGTGCATATTTCTCTAAGATTAGGGTGCTGTTGTCATTTTGACTACCTAAATTTCTTCTGGCGAGAAAATGTACTCATCACGCCCCAGAAGGTTTCGGTAAAAGCAATCCGTGGTTTTTAACTTGTCAACATTTTTCTTTTTTGTCCCATAAGCTCCGTTAGGCCAAGTGAGCAGGTTACCACGTTGGCCAAGTTTTAAGGTAGACGGGAACCAGTCAACAAGACGCCGCCCGACGAGCAGACTAAACCAGTGTTGAATGTCACTTAGGGGGTCCTGTAGTTTGGTGTGATTACCTAGATCTCATGGTTGATGGGTGAGAGGAATTCCAAATTATTTTTGATCGGATTTGGTTCTTGTATTAACAGTATTTTCCTCTGCTTAGTTCTCCGTCTGAGCCTCCAGAGCTAGCGTTCACGTCAAAACAACCACCAAAGGTGCACAAGGTCTATTAACGCCCAAAACGAAGTCAAGAACGCTTCTACAGCGCTTCGTATATATAGCGTAGGTGGTTATAACTTTCCAGAAGTTCTGATGCGTTTTGGATGCGCCATTGGCAACCGGCATTTGGCCAATACTGGGTCACGATTGACCAATCAGATCTCGTCTTGATGCCGGACCGGCAAGCGTCCCGAATTCTTGGCCAATCTCGTGCGGGTCAGGCTTATCGGCCGTAGCAGTGCCTAAAGACGTGCGATATAGCGGGATCCGTGTGGAATTCTGCCTAACAGTTCTTTGATCTTCTCGTTCGAGGTGTTCTAATTGATGAATCGCTGTTGAGTGTCACTGCTAAATTCTGTTGGTCTGTTTGAACCTGTAGGTGCTACAACAAGTTAGTGGTGGAGTCATCATCATCATCAGCTGTAAAAACCGCGTACTTACCGTACCATGTTCTAGCTGCCACAGTTACGTTCACCGACTATTCGGGGAGATAGCTGCTCACTGGAGGTTGATGTGAGTGACTCTTAAATACAGTGGACTCCCAGTTGGAGAGATTGCGAGGGGAGCTATGTATTGCAGGGAATAGGTTGGACGCGGTNCCATGTCTGATAATGTCTCTAGCCATTGATGTGGCCCGTCTCGGGGTCCCCATCCAGGAAGACGGCAGTGACCAGCGCAGTTGAGCTTGCTGGTAATTGCTTTCATACTTCGCTGCCAAGTCATTGTTTGACCGCCTCTGGCTCTCTTCCAACCTTCACATGGTTGTGCGAAAAGAGCCCTTCGAGGAGGTCGGTCGACTGGCATACGCAGCACGCGGCCAAGCCAGCAGTGTTACTCTATCGTGGGTTACGCCACCCAGTACGAATACCCTTCACAACTGAAGCCTAATCAAACTAGCTGGATATCCACTACTCCAAAGCTTGATCTTTTCTTCAATGTGGACCATCTTCTGTGCACAGGGCCCTTACAGGCCAAAACATTGATGAGCCAATACTAGCAAATGCGGACGAGAAGATGAGTAGTTCCAAATCACTCCGTGTCAGTCGGCTTCTGACCTGACCTCATGTGTCATGCAGTCCGAAACGGGTAGTGTACCGGATGTTTTCATCAACCCTATGTTACGTGCTATGTGTTGTCACGTCCAGACGGCAACCTCACGATGAGTTTCACTTGTGAAAGTAACTGGGAGTGTTTATCTTCACAAAACGGTGTCATTTTGATTATTCCTTTCTAATAATACCTAAGCATTACGACAAATTCAGTGGTATTCGGCAGGTTTGTCCCGTTTTGCCGTGTCCGATTGCACCCTTGGTGTGGTCTCTTGCACATGTCACGTCTAAATACAGTCCCAGACACACGGTACACAGACCGCAGACAGATGGAAATTATAAATAACCCACGACATAGCATTCACGTCATTCTTTTACCCAACCATCCTCTTCACTTGATGCGATTAATCCTAACAGCGAAAAACTACCATCCCCGGTTTTTCTGGTCGTTATATTTTGTCAATAGTCCGTTTCCTCTCTGTGCTTTCGGAGTTTGAATGCTGACCGTTTGACGTCAGTGACTTGCACGCGTGACAGCATCTACCACCTGTCGCACGGACAAGTTTCGTCTGCTGGGACGCGAGCGCCCCGGATTTTTTGTCAACCTTAACGACCAAGGTGGTTCAACCATCTCTTTCCTCCACTCATCTTGCGAACGGAACTGATCTACTGTTTACGGAAAGCGCGCAGGCAACCGGAGTGCCTTTCTGGACTGCATCCTTGCATTCTTGAATGACCTTTGGATATCGAACCGGTCGGCTAGTTGGAAGTTACTTCTAAGGGAACGAAACTCCACTACGGGTGAAAGGAAGAAGGCCTTCACTGCGAAGCTATTTATTAGAAAATGCCAACTGACCGGTTACAGACCATTGGACAGGAAAGCAAAACTCTCATATGCATCTTGTTTACAAAAACTGAATATCCATCTCCTCGTTGAACGCGACTTCCTGAACTTTACTGGATATTCATTGACTATTACTCAAATGCAAGCAAATGCTACAAAGTGACTCCACAAATTCCGCAATAGATCTCACTTTTCAAGAGACGCAAAGCGGATTTACAAGAAAACATACTGCTCTCATGCCGCCCATCAGTAGTATCACCGTTACACGGGTGTGACGCACTCCAAACTGTCCTACTGACTTACATGACCAGATGTTTTTGTTCTAGTAACAGCAATAGAGACGGCCTTCTACAGTCCAGGCCTTCTATAGCCCGGAACCGCATTCCACTTGTGTCAGAATGCGGAACTGTGTAGATCAAGATGAGCGTAACATTTTACTTCCCATGTCTTATGACTCTCGTTCTCTTCCAAATCTAAGCGATACCGATTTGTATTCAGGTTGGCCAAGTTTGGCATGTTTAGATACCTCATATGTTCTAATGCGGTCATTTTGACTCTGTGTACACTCCAGGATTTTCTTTAAGTAGGTTAGTTTGATTCCAACGCAATCGGTAGCAAATCTCACGAGTTTCCCCAAGTCGTATGCTGTTTACGACGCCGAAGATCGAAGGATATCTAGCAAAAGTGATCCGACACGATTTCTGGTCTACCATGTGAGTTGAATAGTTTAACGATGGGGTCCGTTTTTGTGCCATACCCACAGATGCACACGTGGTTTTCTCCACTGCAATGGATGGCGGTGCCTCAGAGGCAATCTCGTCTGGCCAACTGCGTCCACCCGCACTGCCTGGTGGTCGTCTCAGAACCGGACCGTCCTCTCATGTTTCTTCGACTAAGCCAGAGGTAAGTTCACGTTCCTAAACTGCTCACTGTTTTTACTACGGTCTACTTTGTCTATCAGTTCATTCTACGTGCAGTTGAGCTGATACTCGTGGACCAATTTTCTCCGTTTCAACTCCAAATTCCACTATTTGTACAGGGATTGAACTTTTACGATACCAGTTCCGGTGTCAGTTATCGATTTCGGGGGTCGTTTTCAGTTTTCACATTGCCTCGCAAAGTTTTCAATCAGGAGAGCACCTTTTACCCTTTTTCGACCACCAGGAGCAAAGTAATCGATAGATGTCGCTCCCAGAATTGTCAATAAATTGTGATTGTTCAACCTCACGAGACAAGTACTCGCAGGTTCTTTTCATACCATCTTCGCGTTAGGATGGTTATTCAGTAGTAAGGGAATTAAACAGTTCTCGTTTATTACTACAATACGGTTCTTTCAAGCCTTTTCTGACTTACTGTCTTGGAAAATATGTTCCGCAGAAAGCACACCACTCAGTTTAACCTTTATCTCAGTGTTTCATCACCCATGCCCTATTCTCGTTGATTCTTCGTACAATCCTGCATACTCCACTGATCTCCTGAAGTTGGTCAGTGATTATAGGCGAATTCCTTGTGCGTTGGTTATTTGTCGGCATATTAGAAAGAGCCCTTCTCCGATTGGTCATTATATCAACCAATCACAAATAAATGCCTTGGCTCGGCGCTCCCCGACCAACCTAAACATCGTAGCATTACTTTTTCGTAAACACATGTATTCTACATGCATTCTATATGCACCAATGGGCTACTCTACAAACCACTACTGATGAAGGATGAAAGTAGTCTGTTGTCCGGGCTTCGACCCATATCTGACGGAAGGTGAAGGCTACTGTGGAAGTGTTTACCAATTGTTTATAATTGTTTGCTAGTCAAACAACTCCAGGACTGTTCACCTGGATGAACACTTGGGAATGTCTACTTTTTAAAAATTGTGTAGATGTCTAATAGCCTGTAACCGTTTGGTTCATGTTTCCTAGTAAATAACTTCTCCTTTCATCATGAGAACGGTTGTGCGACCACGGAAGTCATTTACCTAGAAATGATAGTTTGTCCTCCGTCTTTTGGATGACCAAGGATTATTCTTTTTGGATGCGATTGACCGTTTGCATCTGTTTACTCATCATGTCATCACCACTCTTCTTCCGCTCCCTATTTTCTGACACACGCCGGGGTTCATCACCTCCGTCAATCGAAAACGAATGGGCATGCTTTCACCTAATATTTTTTCTGGGTCACTTCATTTGTTCGCCCATCCGGTCAATTGGCATCCACCCACCGATGCATCATCACCTTTTTATGTTGTCTGTCATCATTGCGCTCCGTTTTTTTCATGTGGCCCAACCTGGTGGTGACCTTAGGGTTTAGTACTTGACCTTGCGGCGGCAGGCACTCTCAATGCACTTGATCTGAGGACATCCGTTGATAACCTGACGACCGGTGATCTGTGTGCGCCACCCGGACCATTCCGCATATCTCTGGATAGTAGTTTCCATCCTCTGCCACAATTGCATAACCAGCCCGTTACACCGTCGGAAGATTTAGCACGGATGGGAACAGAGAACAGCGTCCAGGGCTTCCAATTGAACTTGTTTCATCTACTCAGACAGGCACAGGCCTTTCCAATGTCAACTACTCTGGTCTACTTACGACAACAGCTTCACCAAGGTTTGCTCGGCCAACATCCACCACCACCCCATCATAAGCCGGCACAGCATCACCAGTTTATGGCCAGTGTTTTGTTGGACCGACCAGTCAGCGTACCGTTGAATGCTTCTTCAATCAGAGAAACCCACCATTTCCCATACCAACCCCTACCTGGACCTATTATTCACCCGATTCCGTTCATCCAACCAATCCCAAGTGTCGAATCCACCACCATCGGTGCTCCGTCTGTGGACGAGGAGGATGATTGGTTTGGGTCCAATGTCGAAAAGCGCAAACTTATCAATGACTCTGCAATGCAAACCAAAACGTCCGCAACCATATCCCCACAACCTCCTCTTGGCCCAAAGATGAAGCGCCGACTGGCCAAACCCAGACCGGATGAGTTAATACTTGTCGAGGAGGAGGATGAATGTGACCTGGGGACGGAGGCATCCTCCGAGATGCGCGACACCCCCTCACTATGTCACAATGGCAGTGTGGTCAGTGCTTCCTCCGAACAGTCCAAACTGTGTGTGTCGGATGGTCTGCAATCGGACGATGTGCATACGCAAGAGGTGATCAGTTTCCATTTTCGGTGGCATAGGTTCGCATGTCATGTCCGGTTCCGCTTATTTTCGCTTCTTTCGGAGGCTGATAAAGACATAGTGTTCAACGATATCAGCTGCGCTACACATTGATGCTCTGATTGTGAAGAAAAACTTGGAGAGAGCGCCAAGTTCTGCCCTAATCCTTTGTTGTCATCGGACGCCATTGAAGCGACCGTTGAACTTGGTCCTCAAATTGTTGACCAAGCAACTCTAAACTATCTGATTTGTAGTTAAAAATGTGGAATTTATGGCCCGAGTGTGACGTTGCGCACCGATGTGTCGTAGACGGAGAATCATCGGTCACCTCGAAAACCTCGTTGTGGAACTCGTGTTCATCCTGATTTAACCGCTTCTCGCCGTGATGTTATGACTGAACTCTTGAGGGTAGGAACAGGTTCCCCTAATCTCGGTATGGATCAACATTCAAAGGTGGAAATGAATTTAGTTTTAACCGGAGAATCAACTGAACCCAAACCAAATTTCTCATTTGTGAAATTCTCTACTGAATTCAGTTCATAAAGGCTACCGAATGTTTAATTTGGGACGATATTCATCATATCGCAGTACATTGTCTGGACGAAACATACTACTCAAGAGGTTGACAGAGACTGCGCGCACCTGATGGGCACCAACAAGGGCGAAATCTGTCGTGGACCGTTGAAAATTTTTCAGCAACATTATAAGTAGTAGATAAAGAAAGATAATCGTTCAGCTGTAACGCCCTCTCGGTGCTCCGCTGTCATGTCACCCGCGGGAAGCACGAGGGCTGGGGCACTTCCAGGTTACCCAAGCCTAGACAAGAGGAGTCTAGATTCACAGTTCATTTGTCTATACAATGTACAGCCACATCTGGAATATCACGCCAACAAAAACCTAAGGCAGCCTGTATGCATCACATGAGGTTCAGTTGAGTTCTTGGTTAAAATCACCTTCGTTTGCTAGTGGGTGTATTTCACCGATAGTGTCCAATTTGGGTTTAAGTAGAACATAGATCTGCTGGCTAAACCTTGGCAATTGCGTTGTGGGCTATCAAAGAGTTTTCAGCAACCTTGTGAGTAGTATTTTGTGTCTGGGCGATCATAGATGCAAATGCTCTGGAATCTGTTTATTGTGGGCCTACGTTTAGTTAAGTATCTTATGTGCTTTTCATCATGTTTCCTCCTCGTGTCATTTCTTTGTCGTCTCGTGGTGATCCTAGTCTTGTTTCGTTTTTCGTTGTTCTACTATATCGTCGCTTCATCGGTCGCTTCATCAACTACCGTCTGGTCTGACTATCGCATTTCACATTGGGTTGTCTCACCCGTGCCACTTGTGTTGTGTGTCGTTTTATTTCCCATACAGGAAATCGCTTCTCCTGTGTCCCTGTTCCTAACTCCTTTTCTTCCGGTTGTATCTCGCCAGGAGCTGGATGCATTGGCTGCACAACTCACGGATTTGGGTTCTGTTTCACCCAAGTCTCCTCGTGCGCCAACTACCAGACACACAAACGGATCCACCCCGAATGGCAAGTCACCAGCGGAACGGAACGGTATTCCACCTACTCCAAAACATAAATCAAGCGGGGTTCATCAACTTGGAAGACCAGCTTCCCGATCCTCTTCATCGTCATCCGATAGTAGTAGTGTCCGACACACGCCGACTAGCAAGACCGGTAGTAATAGCAGCAGTAGCAACAGTGTGACTGCATCTTCTACCTCCGGGAGTGAGTCTCCTTCTTCGGGTTCCAGAGAGGTCCAGTGTGCCACATGTTCGTCCGCATCTACTGCATCTTCTTGTCATTGTCAGCCAGCTGCGTCCACAAAACCGTCTGACAGTCAGGAGTGCGGCGCTGATGTTCGCCGATTGACTGTGGTCGAAAACACCACTCAGAACGATCCATCCACGCCATTCCATCCGGAATCAGTCAACGGTGAACAGGTGGAACTAGGCCTTGATGGATCACAACGGTTATTTGCTGGAAGTGATGACGTTCCCGAACTGAACACAGGCGTTGAAGAAGACGAGGATGATGATGACGGTGATGTGGTTGTAGTCGAGGAAGAGGAGTGTGGTGCCGATCTTGAGGAGACTGCAAACATCAGGTCTACTCTGTCCGTGGTGAGATCCAGAAGTCAGAACGTCTTTGACCGCACCCGTGAACTGAGTTCCAATTCAAGAGAACTCGACTCAGAACGTCCTCCCATCTCCACAGGTGCTAGTCGGGATGCCAACGTTCAAGAAGGTCCCAAGAAAGCCTTGTGAGCCCCTTATTTCCTCTATCCTAATTTATTCTCGTTGATACTCCGCCCTTAACTGCAGTTTGAATGAAGCGCGTGTGCAAAAGCTCTATCTTAGTCTATCTTTTGTTTGACCAATCAGTGCCTGCTCTACACCAGTCTGACGATAAAGTCACCATCATTCAGGATCAGGTCAGACGGTACAACCAGATGCCATCGTTGTGTAACCCGAATGGATGGCTGTCATCAGTCACCATGCTTTCATGCCCATATGACTTTGTGTCTTTTAGCCCAACCAATGTTCCCATTGGTTTCCTTGCTTGCAGCTGTCTCAAAACCGGGCGTTTTGCCAAAGATGTGATTTTTACGCTAATACTGTTTTGCGGGACTTTTCATCTAGATGACTTCCTTGAAAAACACCACATGCCGATGTATGACCGCTGTGCAAAGACTTTGTTTTCCGCCGACAGGTTTTCGTGCAGCTGGTGATGGTGGTGGTAGTGTGGAGTCAAACACGTCTCTCCGTGGGAATGGCGCCAATCAAGCATTTCGCTTGATTGACATCCGCTCAGCGTGTTCAGTTGCCTATGTTAATTTTAACACGGCACAATGCCACACTATTCGCTTTTTTTCGAGAAGTGAATCAACCGAAGTGACGTTGTACCTCGGACCCAAAGCGTGTGTACTTTAATAAGTCTGTGAAGCCCAATGTAGTAAAGGCTCAAGATTTTTTTGTTTAGAAAAACGGTTGACCACTGGTGTTCCGACGTCAATCCATACCCGACGTGTCGATGGTATTTCAGTTCTCTGACTTTCAACTGTTGGACTAGTTGTGAGTTAGTGGCTGAAACAAGTGGATCTCCGGTTTGTCTACACACACACATGTCGTTCAAGACGGAACATGTCCGCCTGTTCAGATAGTGGCAACTCTCATCTCGTATGTCAAATATCCCGTGTGCGAATCCCAGCCCTCATGAGAGCCCAACGGCAGCCCAGTACTTCCAGGATGAATAGTCACGTCAGTCCAAGAGGACGATTGCTCAGACGATGTTGAATCAAGGACGAATGAACATTACATCTGACGAATTCGGTCCTCTGGTGTTCAACTGTTACCGATACATTCTCAAACCGTTCAGAAGGCCGGCTATCTTTCTAGACAATGAATACTACTAGTAATGGTAAAAGTACTCTTTCACATGTGATATCTTTTCGGTGCACGAGTACTGATATGTTACCCATGAACAGTCGATAAGCCAGAGTCGGGTCCGTATCACATGCCTTCCGGTCATTAGCCACGCGCCTTAACCGCTGAGTCATATGAATTTAGAAAGCAAGCTGCAAACTAAACCTGGACTATTGATGTTTTCAGGTATTAGGACCAGCTAAGACGTAGAGGTGAAACAGTCCCACGTTCTGGGTTGCTTGTATACTATGTGTCACTACGCTATACTGTACTACAGTATACTATACTATACGTATAATTTCAACTCCATCCAGCACGCTTACTGAATTTGTCCGTTGTTCTTGAAGTATCCATCGTCCAGTTGTAATGGAGCGATAATTTTATTTCCCCCCAACTATAGGCTGTCGGATGAATTCACCAGGGAAACACTCAGCAGTCTGGCTTCGATTGCCAACGCCTCCGGGTCTCCGGCTGCGTCACAGTGGACGGCTGCTGTGAGTGCGTGCACCGAAGTAAGTCATCCGTGTGTGTGTATTTTATTCGAGTTCTCTTGTGTGCTAGCTCAGCAGTGTCGAGTTTCTACTGCCGAACGGTCTTAGTTGCTGTGAGTGCGTGCACCGAAGTAAGTCAGCCGTGTGTGTGTATTTTATTCGAGTTCCCTTGTGTGCTAACTCAGCAGTGTCGATTTTCTACTGCCGAACGGTCTTAGCAGTCAGAATCGCTCCAGCCCGTGAAAATCCAGCAATGCGTTTCACCTCGTTTTTTTTCGCAAATTTTGGATTATAGCTGTATCCGGATGGCGTATTCACTCATCACCTCACCAGTTCCAGGCCGACCGAGGGCTTTTTCAATCCGACTTGATTAGCGTCACCTGATAAAAACGTGGTGTCGGAAGAACCGTCTGTGAACCCAGCTTACCCATCACTTCTTTGTGTAACGCAAGAACTGTTACATAGCTCATCAGTTCCATCTTACGGCTCCAGATCATCACCGTCAACGGGTGGTTTACTTTCCTCCCTATGCTAATGAAGGACATAGCGTGTGTATTTGTTGCAAACCGAACCTCAAAAGTTAGAGAAAGCAAAAACCCGGGTTTCAGTTGGATCGATACGTTTGACTATCTTGGCAGCTGCATAAGGGTTGTTGGTTTATCCGCGCAGTTGGGCGAATCGACTGCAAGCTTATTGTCATCAACCGAGATGACATCATCAGTGCGTCTTTAGGGAGCCTGATGGAGATAGATGGCCCAAGTGGTTAAAGGGCGAGTTTACTGGTCGGAAGGCTCGTGGTTCGAACCCGACCTCTGCCACTCGACTTCCCNTCGGCTTCCCCTCGCTATGCCTGGGCAACTTGGCAGTATCCAAGCCTTCGTGCTTCCTCCGGGTGGCATGGCAGCTAGACATCGAAAGGGTGTTACAGCTGAACGATTTATTTTTAATGAAGCATAGCTATGGTTTGGTGGTTTTGCGTTGAGTAGTGTTGCATTTATGTTGTTCACTTATATGCTCCTGGTCAAGGCTTATTCGCTGTCACGATTAGTTATTCGGTAGGGTTGATCGATGACCACGTGACCTTTGAGCTCGTCCTTCCTTCCCTCATCGTATTTTTGTCGATGCTGGAGTGACCTCTTTCCTTGACGCCTCAGTGCTCCGACTTTTGTCGCTTGTTGACCCGACTCCAATGATTTCCTTGTTTCTTGGTTCGCGAATACGATATTCGGCTCTCCTTGAGTACTTCGGTTGAAATGTTGGATCCAGTTTAGTGCATCGGATGATCGAATCCGCCGTGGAGTACCATGCTTCCAGAAACTCCCTTCCGGGTCTCGTATTTCTGTATGCCAAAACTTATGCTTTTTCCAGATTGAATTTGTGGCCTTCTTGGTCTTCTTGTATAGGTATCAACGGTCGTTCAGTTGTAACACCCTTTCGGTGCCTAACTGTCATTCCAACAGAAGGAAGCACGAGTGCTGGGGTACTGCCAGATTACTCTAGCCTAGAGAGGGTAAGACGAGAGGCAGAGGTCGGGTTGGAACTACAGATCTTCCGGTCAGTAAATCCACGTTCTAACCACTTGGTCCGTCTCGACCCTGGATATCAAGGATAGGGAATCATGTCTCCTGACGGCCGCGTTGTGTTCCTGTATTTGTGTGCATAATTTCCTCAGTGTTGAACACTGATGTCAGGCTGCTTATGATGATGCTGACTTCCTTTTAAACAGCCAAAGCGACTCTTCATCCATGAATCGTTATTCTTGACTTTATTCTNTGTGGCCTTCTTGGTCTTCTTGTATAGGTATCAACGGTCGTTCAGTTGTAACACCCTTTCGGTGCCTAACTGTCATGACAACAGAAGGAAGCACGAGTGCTGGGGTACTGCCAGATTACTCTAGCCTAGAGAGGATAAGACGAGAGGCAGAGGTCGGGTTGGAACTACAGATCTTCCGGTCAGTAAATCCACGTTCTAACCACTTGGTCCGTCTCAACCCTGGATATCAAGGATAGGGAATCATGTCTCCTGACGGCCGCGTTGTGTTCCTGTATTTGTGTGCATAATTTCCTCAGTGTTGAACACTGATGTCAGGCTGCTTATGATGATGCTGACTTCCTTTTAAACAGCCAAAGCGACTCTTCATCCATGAATCGTTATTCTTGACTTTATTCTCAAACAATGTGTTATTCCCAGCTGTGTACCAGTGATGTCCCTCAGGGAATTTTTGTTCTAAAACTTCGTAATATTCTACTTTTCTCCCTTCTTCAGGTTTCCCAAGGGGTCATCCTTCCCAGCCAAGCTTCAGCGAACGCTGACACAAATGGGACGCTCGTTTATCAGAACCACAATCATCAGCAACCACATCCGTTGCCGAATAATAATCGTGCTTCCAGTCCGAACATTTCATCAAGTGCGTATTTTTTTGTTTAGTCGCATTTTAAACCCCGTCCTGCTCCCCCCGTTTTGAGTTCCCCTTCTCGACACAGCAATTCTCTAACAATAAAACAACACCTCCGTCTGCGACAGCGTTCCTCATCAGCTATGGTTTAGTGGATCTAGAGATCAAAACCCTGCTAAATAACTCTGCACTTTGTGGGAATTATTGTAGGTCGTACTTTTCTAAGAGCCCTCACCTCATACTCGACTTGAATTTGATTATGATTTATTTGACCATGGTCAGTGTGTCATCTCTCTTTCGCAATTCACGCGGTCCATCTCTGCCATGAATATTCATTACAGCTAACCACGATCTTCCAAAGCGACCGGTCACACAGTCCCAGACTCCTCATGGTAGGTCGGACCGTAACTCTGTTCTCCTACCTTTGGGAATTGAACACACATCTGCGCTGCACGGCGATCCAAGTTCGGCTATTGGACGCGCGGGAGACCAATCCTGTCCGGTCACGAGTCATCCCAGCGACTTTTCTGGCAAGAACCAGGTGCGCCCTATTGCATCATACATCTTTTATGCCACCTGGTTCTTCGGTTAGGCCCCTTTGTTCAGCCCCATTGTTTCCCATAATTTTAGGTCAACGTTCAAGCTGTGCAACACATCCAGTCGACTCCCTCGGTGCATATGCCATCCACTGCATTATCCCTAAACAATGCCGGTCTCCCGACTCACAACGTGACCCCCATTCCCGTAGACCCCAGCCTGCAGGCCATGAGCGAGGAGGCACCTGAAATACAAGTATACAAAAGGCGATTCAGTTCGGAAATTCTCTGTGCTGCCATGTGGGGAGTCAACTTGCTGATCGGTCTTGACAACGGCCTTTCATTGCTTGACCGCAGTGGAGAAGGAAGGGGTAAGGCTTTACATACTCGGTCAAATAGATTCACCCACTCGTATCTGTTTAAGTCTTTTCGTAAACATTTCTTGTCACCTGCCTTTGTCCAGCCTATCAAGATGTCATCCATCCTTTTGTAGTTTACACGCTTATCACGCGACGGCGCTTCTCACAAATGGCTGTTCTTGAGGGCCAAAATATTTTGGTCACTTTGTCTGGACGAAAAAACCGGCTGCGTGTGTACTACCTATCCTGGCTACGGAGCAAAATTATGAAAAGTGAAGGGGTACGTGTTTTGTGGCAGTTTTCAGAATAGCTCGATGGAATACTTCACGTTTTTTCTTCAGAAGTACGTGGTTTCGTTTTGTTGTAACTGACTGCGAAATCCCGGCTGCATAACCTTGGTGACGGAAAAGACTCAAGCGACAAGAGCACGGCAGCTTTATTATGAGCAAGCGAATGCAAAACACCAAGAGCGTGATGACATTTAAGGCGCACTTTTGACCTTCAATCAAGGCTACCTGGTCGATGTTGAGTGAGTGATTGGCATTACTTCTAGGTCACGCCTGAGTACTGGAAAATCGTAAGTCCACGCTGACTGAACATTCAATCGATAGTTGGCTTTTCCAGTTCGGTGGCCCTCCTGAAACGATCTTGGAGGAATTGGAAGTTCCCAACGAGTTTCGAACGTTCTGAGGTTATTTTCAGGGATCTGTCCTTCCTGATTCCTCCTTCTTTTGATCTGTCAACGTAGGGTTTCTCCCGTGCGTCAGGTTAGAAGGGCTCCGGCGGCTCGGGTCTATCGCGGGCGATACATGGTGCTCAATAGCTGTTTCGGTCAGCCTTTGAAGGTCGAAGGTTTCAAACAGTAGGTTGAGAACATCCCGCTGCCTTCGGGACCGGGTACTCAGTCGGCTTTAGCTGGTTAACATTTTGTTCTCATTTTGACGACCCTAGCCGAACGCTGTAAATCACCTAATCGATTCTTTTGAGGATGATTCCGACACACCTATTTTCGTGACCACATTGACAAGATCTCACAAGTACACGGCTATCAGGTCAAAAGGTGAACTTCCTTCTTGTGGCCGATTGAGGCTTGCAATTGTTGACAGAATATCATCGTGCGTAAGCCCCGACCGCCTGTTCATCATAACTCCCTCTGGGGAGCGCCCGCCAGGAGAGTGTGAGTTGGGAAGTTGCTCTCCAGTTCAACAAGAAATTATCCAAGATTTCTCCCACTGCTTTTGTCAAAGTGCGTCTGAAGGTATCTATGGTGTTCTCAGCCTGACCGTTTGATTGCAAATGGAATGGTGTGGTGCGTGATGTGAATCTGAAACCACCAAACCGATGGGATGGGAACTGGTCACCATCGTCGGACATGATGGTTCCTTGCTGACCGAGTGTTCAAAACACATGTCGCAGCTTCATGATGCCTCCCATCATTGTTTCAGCATTTATTTCGTAGGCTCTTTCCAGTCCAGTTGAAATGAACGTCAACTGGTTGGTTAGCAAACTACACATCAGTATTAAGGGTTACTCAACATTCTACCCGTCAGAATGCAACCGCCTCATATTCTATCAGTTGTCCCACTTCGGCTCGTTTTTATGCCCCCATGTTTTCCTCTGGGCGGGAAGAGTGTACGCTGCAGGACCTCCTGTCTGGAAGTTTCATCCAGTAAGCCTCTAGTGCTCCACTCGACCATTGTTGCCGTTGTTCTTGATACGATACATTTGACCTTCTTCAGCGCACTCAAAGTTTATGTGGATATGTGTGTGAGAGGGAGAAAACACTGCAGAACCGTTCTGGGAACGATTGCCTTGTATCTGTTGGGTGGACTACCCAACCCACCTGGTTACTGACTAGCACCCAGGCTGTACTGTTGGTCACGAAACTTTGGCATCGTTATGCGGTCACGAAAGGCCTGTTGATACTGTGGTTTTTTCGCACTTGCTTGAGCGCTTCTGAGGGGCCTGTTTCTTCCGTAAGCATGTTCCCATCATGACAAGTTTGTTGCCCTGCACCATCAACATCAAAGACAGCAACGTCGGTTTTGCTGCCATGCAACCGCAAAGTGAAGAGAAGGAAAACGGTGGGTGAGTGACCGATCCAGGCTATGAACTATTGCAAACGTTTGGAGGTGTGTAGGCAACCTGGGAAGAAACTGACTGCACGAACGCCACTGGAATCCATCAGCAATTTTTTCAACCAAGTGCACGAGGGGTCGCGGGAACTTATGCCCTGCATCCTTGTTTCTGACAGACAGCATACATCAATGCAACGGGGATCCAGCATACGAGTAAGAGCCACCTGTTGAGCTGCTTGCTTCAGTGTGCAAACATTGAAGGTGGCTAAGTAGGCAGGCTTTCGGGGTTAGAAAACAGACTTCGAAGTGTTCAGAGTTGTGACTGAACTTGGACGTATTGGCCAAATGCCGGTTGCCAGTGGCGCATCCAGAACGCGTCAGAATTTCCAGAAAGTTATTGCCGCCTACGCTATATATATGAAGCGCTATACAAGTGTTCCTGACTACGTTTTGATTATTAATATACCTTGTGCACCTTTGGTGGTTGTTATGATGTGAACGCTAGCTTGCGAGGCTCAGACCGAAAACTAAGCTGAGAAAGACGCCGCTACTACATATACGTTGTCCACCTCGTGGTTTGCGCCATTCTGAAGGAGGCATGGAGAACAACACTCATCTCGGTAAACGGTGTTTCGGCATACGTAGAACATGTTCCAGCCATCGCAGTCGATGGGTATGCTTCCTCGATTGCGTTACCTTCTGCAGAACCGAATATCCGTTTTCTAATCGGCCTGCTATCGATCCGTTCCACCCGACACTCGTGGTTTGCGCCATTCTGAAGGAGGCATGGAGAACAACACTCATCTCGGTAAACGGTGTTTCGGCATACGTAGAACATGTTCCAGCCATCGCAGTCGATGGATATGCTTCCTCGATTGAGTTACCTTCTACACAACCAAATATCCGTTTTCTAATCGCCCTGCTATCGATCCGTTGACGCCACCCGACACTAGCAACACTTCTGAGGCATCGGTGATAAAAAACCCGAAGACACCTCACATCGGCAGAGGCCATGTTTCGCTACCATAACACAATACAATATTGCTCTGATTGATGTGGGTGTACAGTTTAGGTGTGTGCCTCACGTACTTCACACTCAGCTTGGTTTCGTCTTTTCGTACAGTCAGTGAATTACATAACCTAGTACATGCCTTGCTGGTGTTCCATCCATGTTTTCATACATTTGTGAATGAAGGAAACTTGTTAGATCCGAGGGAGCAAATTCAAGAAGAGCGTATGAACCATCTTAACCCGAAGACATTCGTGGAGTTCGATGTACCACTTCCTGGGTAGTCGAACTCTAGCGGACTGCTCCTGTAATTTTTAAGGCGCCCAAGTTCGGGCTACTTAGCTCACTACCGGAAACCTGTAGTCTTTATTGATCCTCGTAACTGGGGTGGCAGTTTATTAAATCCTAGAAGCGGATAGCCTCAGCTGATGACTTTTATGTACTGTTTAAGCAATTTAACGATGCCGGTCTTTTGTTTGTGACCAGGACTGTACCTATCAGTCTTTCTACTCCCGGCAGATCACAATGCTCATTTGTCCGCTTCCAGTCTAAAGTTTTCCGCGTTAACTCATCAGTTTGTTCCTCTTGGTCGGGTTTTAAGTCAGACCAAATCGCACGATTGTCCAATGCCTTTTTTCGAACGTTGCTAGTTCGTTAGATTCAAGGCCTGCGATCTGGTTCACCTTTCATCGACCCCCTCTGCTTGTTTTTAACACTCTAGTGTGACAAGAAAAACGGCTGGGTCAACGTTGGCGAAAACCTCCAGGGCGCTGTACATTTCAAAATAGGTCAGTTATTTGTATTCGACTCATCGTCATCTATTGTTCTAATTGGTTCCATTCTGTCGTGAAACTACTACTTACCCAGCCAGTAACATTAACCCCTGTTTTTTCCAATTTTTTTCAACAGTCAAGTATGAAAACATCAAATTCTTATTGGTTGCGCTCCGGGATTCAATTGTGATCTACGCGTGGGCCCCGAGGCCGTATCATAAGTTCATGGAATTCAAGGTATGCGGTGCATGGTAGTTTATTGTTCTCCGAAAAAACAAAGGTCGATTGCATTCTCGTAGATGAAACCGAAATAACCCCTGTTTGTACGTTTCACCTAACTACTTCATCGGACGCCCGTCGCCAAACAACGCCTACTTTCGATTTGTGTTCAGTGGGGTAGTGTTGGTAGATCAGACTGATCACGTGACTTCAGTTTCACTAGGGATGGTCTGAATTTTGCTACTTTGTATGCAGGAGTTTTCTTGCCGAGTAATTCCAGGTAATCCACACTTTTTGGCACGCGGATAATGTCTTGTCAACACCTTCAAGACTCTTTTTGATGACCTATTAACATCATGGTCGACGGCGATCGCTCCCTCATCGGTCTTCACAATGGTTTTAAGACGAGTTTGTGCGCAGCTAACTGGAGTTCGAACCCCGATATCTTCAAAGGACAGGAGCGACACCTAAACTTCCCATCCTCTATTTAATTTAGCCCGACCAACTTCTGGCATGTCCTTCAAGAAAGAGTTGCTTCGGGAGGGTTGTGGGGATACGGATCTCTAATAGCAGATGCACCAAGTTCTTTTTGGTTGGGAAGCCGTCTCTATCAGGTGTTTAACATTTTTTGATACATTTCTTAGTAAACTGGTGTCTAATAGGTCTCTGTAACCCGTAATTTACCGGTTCCTTGACTTGCTGACCTCATTCGATTCTGTTTCTCACTGGCGGGTGCTTGTTTAAACATACAATACTCCCCAAGTAAGCCTCTTGCCATTGGCAGTCGTCTGTACGAACAGTAATCGAGAAGTAAGAAGTGCTTTCTAGTTAGTTCTTTTTTGTGTATCGGCAAATAGCCCCTTATAATTAGTACAAACCCATTGGCATACGCTGTCTGAGACACACATACACTTCTAATAGCCCCATTGTTTGTGAACTTTACGTCCTGAAAATTTGTTCTCGCTCAGTGACCGTGTCTCACTTTTGCTGCAGCCATTCTGGTAACAATATTGAGGATAGTTGATAGCTACTGGTACATTCATTCAAGTGCTCCATTCACGACTGATTTCGCAGCGCATATACTCAAGCAAAACTACAGCACTGGATGTGATTGGAACGATTGGTGGCTACTGTCAAGTCTGTGTAAAAGATTTTTTCGTGAATTAACAGGCTGTTATTGTTGAAACACAAATCGTTCTGTTTCTTCCAGCTGGATTCAAATAGTTCTGTCGCAGCGAAGAGTGAGCACAAGTCAACGTCAATGTCCGAAACAATGTTGGCTGAAAAAGAAATATTTCTTTCCGCTGGCTAGAACCCGGGGGCGGGATGGCCCAAGTGGTTAGAGCGCGAATTTACTGACCGGGTTCGAAC